TGGGATGGGTGGGTAATAAAGGGGTTAGGTGTCAATTGGAAGGAAAGTTCTGTTCCTTTCTCCTGCCATTCCTGTGGTGAATAAATTAAACCTAAACTTAACCTTAACTTAAAGTGCACCTAAACCCAAAAATTTTTTTTCGCTTAATGAAATAAGCGTATTTTTTGGAGTATTTCCGTGCAACAATTTTTTTATTTCCTCAAATCTTTAATTTTCTGTGCCCAGTCAAAATACGGAAAATCGGCAACCATCTTGCCCCATGACCGAGTTTAAAGAGGAGTGGCTCTAGCAGGTAATGTGATGTCAAATTGAGAACACGAAAGTCTGCATTTCACACATTTTCACGTTTAGCAAGATTGTAGTCGATATTGTCCGAAAATATGCCGTTTAAGTGTGTTGTAGAAGGATGTAGCAACGTGTGAAATTTGCTTATTTCGTTACGCGAAAAAAAAAATTGGGGGGTTTAGGTGCACTTAAGAAAGTGCAGTGATTTTAGGCTGAAAAAGGGTTGATTGGTCATTAGGTAATAGCAATAATTGAGTAGAAAAAATTTTTCTTAAACAGTATTGTCTCTATTTTATTTACTTTCAGGTCCAAAGAGTTCTAAAGCTTCTTGAAAACCCTTACAGTGACACCACTGACACCAAACTAATCCAACAGCCAAGTAGAGAGAGTGACTCCCAAGAGGCGTCAGAAGCAAGCTGCAGTGCAGAAGAATATTTTACTTATGACAGTAAGCCACCAGGTTGGGCTACTGACTTAAGGGTGACATGATCATCGTAGGTGCCTCGTTACATGAATGAGCCAGAAACTACAAGCAACACTACAATATTTTGTATCAGAATTTACATCAGTATAATTTTGGTTTAATTAATTTAAAATTAAGCAGATCATTGGTGTATGACTAAAGAATATACTGTCGAAAAAAATATCATTACATGCCCCTTTCACAACAAAAGTAGTCCAAACCCTCTCAATGGACTCTGTCTTTAGCAAGCAAGTCTTCTAAGGATGCCTTTTTAGTGCCACTTCTGAACTCACTCAGTTAAACTCAGTGGTTTCACTTTCTTGTGATTGAGCACCTAAGAAGCAAATCCACTCTTCATGTGAATTTCTATTTTATGAGAGCTTCAACTTGACCTACATTGAAGGTTTGTTAGATTTTGCCTGGCTATGACAGTGTTTACCTATGAGCCAAAATCTGCTACAGAATGTTTTGCACTTTGGAAAGAAAGTAGATCTGAAGTATTTTATATAATTTTCACACCAGCAGTGATACGCCATACATAATATGAAGTGTTGTGTTCAGCTCATTTGTACAGTGAGGCATTTGATGACTTTCTTTAACATGGCATCTAACCACAGGCTTAAATGTCAAAATACATTTTGCTTATGACAGTACAATTTAAAACCAGATGGAAGATTGTACTTGAAGGGTGCTAGGAAATTGATGTCACTGAGAACAATTCACTTTGTAATTTGTTCTAAATATTTTCAAAGAAATTGTTGATAATAAACTTGTAACCAGTAAGAGAAAGGTGCAAGGAAATGCCATTCAAAATAAATTATTAATAGACACTGCACATTTTTTGTCCCATTTTTGTTCTTCACTGTGACAATTTCATTCATTCATTGTTGGATATTTACTCTCTGCTCCTTCTAAAGTTTTCAGCATAACATATTTGATGGGTTACTTTAATTCTTATAAATTATGTCATTGATTTAAATTTGGTGGTCAGTCTCAGTATTGCATTATCAATTTGAAGATTTAACTTTCAAATTTCTAATCTCCAGCAAGTTAGGGTTCAAATTCCCCCCCCCCCCCCCCTGAGGCACAGACAACAGTCAAATACTTATGGGTTGCCTGGAGAAAGGGAGATTATCGAAGCTTAAAATTGATCAGCACTTAACAGGCAGTTGTCTTAAAGGAAAAAAGCAACAGCTTAAAACCAAGACAATGGTTTATGTTAGATAATTTGGATATATCAACTAAGTTGAAATGGTAAATTGGCCACCGTAATGATTACAAAAGCTGACGTTTCGAGCATTAGCCCTTTGTCGGAGTGAATAGAGGAATTGTGGGTTGTGTGTGCTTTTAAAGGCAGAAAATGCAGCTACGTTTATGTTAGAGTTTGCTGAAAGTTCTAGGTGAGGGAATTTTGTAACCAAAATTAAGATAAAAATAACACTACTCCATACTACCTCAATGATTTTATTTCATTTTTATAACAAAAATAATCATAGTGAATTGTAAAGTACACATCTCTACAACAGAGTCATCAGTAGACTATTATAAAGAGAAATGTGATACCCAATTCATTTTTACAAAAGGATAAGTTACAAAACTTATTTCAGAAGCTTTCAATTCATGAATACATCAATAACCAGTATTTTGCAATAAAATTGTAACTATTATTAGTGATTTAAGTGAGCTATTCCTCATCCACCAGCAATATAATTTCCACATTGTCATGTACACCTTGGAGAAGTAATTCACCTGCATAGGTCACAATCTTCTTTTTCTTAGCTGCTTTCAAAGTTCCAACAAGGGCTGTGAAAAAAAGAAAAAAAAAGCAGAGAACATTTTAACTGTCCAAATCACAAATATCCATGAACTTTGAAGGTAGTCTGTGGTGTTGAGGATTTTTTTTCACTGAGCTACAATCTTTGTAAAGACATCATTTGGTGTGGCTGATAAAAAACTCCTTTAACCATTAGCAATCAAAATGAAAGATTATTAACCTGGGTGTGGACCTGATAACCTGCAGCTCTTTGGGAAATGAGTGCATGCTTACACCCTTCCTTAGATAATCATCTTTTAGTTTTCTCTGGAAGGAAAGAAGATCTGGCAGTGGAGGTCAAGGGAACAAGAACCTAACAGGGGTAAAAGAACAAAGTAACATTCTTGAACCAATGTACAAAGGCATGTATACCTACAGGTGCTCAGGTGAATAAGCAGTATGACATACATGTGGAAAGTTGTTGTTAGAAAGAAAAGCAAGAGAGAGCGATGAAACAATATCAGAATGGAGTCTTAATGTGAGAATATCATTAAAAAACAGCCAGAGATAAATGAAGAAATCTTGAGAGAGTGTATGTGACCAGATGTCTGTACCTTCAAAGATGTTGGCACAACGATCATCGCTAAATAGTACTCCAAACTTGACTGTTATCTTGCCATCAGAATTTGGTGTCCCTAGTCTTTTCATCTCTTGCACTAAAAGTTTCACTTCATGTTCCACATTCATTATCAGTCTTGTTCTTTTTCTCCTGCAATTTTAAAGACCACTTTTTAGTCCTAATATCAAAAAATTGTCAAGGCCACAATGGATTTTAAGTTCCTGGGATTCATTGGAAATTAGGTAATTTCCAGTAATGTGCACATATATATTATAACCACCTTTTGCAAGAAATAATTATCAGAACTTGTGGTAAACATATATTTTAATGTTGACTTGTTTTTCTCTACAAGTATAATCACAACTTGACCCTTAAGCAAAAATTCAATGAGAATTCAGAGTCACGAGATGGAACAAACAACTTTGGCCTGTGCCAAAGTAATTAAGGCAACCCCCTTTTTAACTATCCCACGGCGAATAACTCTTTGCAAATCCAAAAATATGTACAATAGTTCCAACCCTATTAACAGGTATTTTTTGGCCAATTACATCAACTCTTCTGGTGTCGAATCCTCCTCTTTAAGCCAGATCTTCTCCAAGTAAATCCTTCTTCAACTAAGGAGACTGTCAGGTCATATAAAAATTTTTTTGCATGCCAAAAATATTAAGATTTTTTCGAGTTTGAGCTCATAGCTGAAAGGCCTGTACAATTGAAATTCGACGACCCATTTAAACACCGAGTCGAAAGATATTTCAATAACCAAAAACTAAAAGAGGTGTACTTGACTTTGGAGATCAAAGGCTAAAATGTAACCAAACTTAACAGGTGATAACGCATGCATTTCGATATTTTTAAACCGCTCTCTTAACTTGTTAATCGTCTAGAAAACCAAAACCATCCCGAGCAACAACAAGTACCTGACCAAGTTGAACTAAAGGCAGTCACGCTACAATGATTGTTCTTAGGGATCATCATTCTTAAATTTCTAACCTGGTTTTTATCAACAAATGCTAACAAACTGCGAACAGATCAGAACGTCCTCGCACACCTCCAGCTTGATCTGCGGGATCGGGGTATTCATTTCCGCAGCTTGAGCCCGCACTAGACTTTACAGCCGAAATAAACTTGGAAAGGAAGTATGTCGTGTAATTAGTCAAAGTGTCCAGTATAGCTAACACTAGGGCAAGAATCTTCTTTTACTTTTAAACAGAACAGCTTATTGTAATTTATTTTCAATTTTATAAGACTCCTTCCCCTAAAACGCCATACTTATGGCACCTTCTATTATCGAAGGAATTGACAACGAAGTTCTTTTCGTGGTTAGCGTTCTGGCGGCTTTTTTGACGATACTTCTGGTTCACCTGGTTTATAATTCGAATGCAACGAATCGCAACGCAACAGAACATGACTTGGAACCAGACATCTCGTCAGATCCCGACCAAAGTGATTATTCTCGCCCTACTGATCGTGCCGATGAGAGCCCAAGTCAAGAACAAGGTAGGAAATCCTACTTACACCTGCACTTTCAATACCTTATAGCCATGTGCATACACGTCGACTTCATAATTAACAAGTAGCAACAGGCCACAACTGCAAGTCGCTAACTGATGTTCAGCAGGAACGTGGGCCCAAGCGATGAAGATTTTAGGGAAGCTTTAAATACAACCCCATACTATTTTAAACAAAGCCATATATAGTCCTTGTCGTTGCGTATGTGGTAATTAATACAAATATATTGTTTCTTGTTTCCGTCATTGTTTTCTTTTATCAACGAACCGCATGCGTAATGAAAAAGGTGTAATACGGAAATTTTACCAAGATTGATTATCGAGGCACAGCTGAGTGTGTCAATAATGTTCTTTCTACACTTTGACGTCTTCTGTGATGTATTACTATACAGACCCACGGCAACGTAGAATATATTTGTTTCATATGATAAAGAAGCAAAATTTTGGTAATGGTGGTGTCATCCATGCATCTGTCCAATCTGAACCAATCAAAATACACACCTGAATTCAGCTCATCCTATAATCTCATGTAGAATCACCGTGACATAATGAGATAAAATCTCACATTCTGATTGGTTAACAAAGCTGGGTGTTTGGCGCAAACTTACAACTTCACTCTTCAGTGTGAACAGGCTAATTTAATGTGACATTATATAAGTACATATGAATTAGCACTTGAAGGGAGCTCAAAAGACTCGAGGGATACATTTGAGCTCCTCTCTCCAAAATGTCTTGCATTACCTTTTTTCCAACAAGAAAAAAGGTAGCTGTTGCTGTTGCAGTCAGTTAGGGCTTTATTAGGCTCACTTCATTTCATTCTTTTTTCATAATTGTCCCTAGTTTACAAGAAAGCATGTTCATGCGACAAACTCTTTGTGAACAGATGGCACCTTTTCAATAGTGACTGATAAAGTATTTCTTCCAATGAACACCTCTGCTACTTTATTGCAGTATATTCACTAGAGAATTTATTACAAAAATCAGTACAGGAACCGTTATTCAAGAAAACTGGTTAAGTCCTCCTTAAGCATACTTTTAAGCAAAAAAAAAAATGCCTATATTAGGGCACACCTTTTTGTTGCTTATTTTATTCCTTTTTTTTTTGACACTAGGATCAGACTCAGGGAATATTGGACTCAGGCAAACAACAACATCATCATTAAATGATAATGCTAATGAAGCTTCAGGGTCACAACCAGGGAATGACAGAGAGGGTCAGAGAGGGCCAACTCAAAACACATCTGATGCAGGTGGCCAACAGGGCCCCATTGAAGAACTTATATCAATCCGTATCAAATTCTTGGAGAGTGAAAAGAATTTGTCCATAGATAGAAGAATTTCTGTGGGAGAATTGAAAAGGTAAAGTGAAATTTGAATGCGGCCGTCCAACAGAGTAAAATGTTCCATATTCGCATCAGGCAAGAGCTCTTTGCGCTTGAGGATCCTAAAACGCAAAACCTAAGTAATCACAACGGCAATCAGAAGAGTAGAAAATAACAGTAAGAGCCATTGAGAACTAAGCGCGGGAAAACGCAGGCGACCAATTCGCGATTGGCTTTAGTTTTGAATCTGATTGGTCATAGAGATTGGCGCGAATTTTCTGTACCAATCACAGAGCGAAGTAAAACGAAAACAAAACCATCCCAGATTGCTTTCGACACTCTGTTAAACATTATTCTAATTCTTTTCTTCCTTCAGTTCATGTTTTCAGGATGAACTCAACAACGGAAGGAGAGTGCGTCTCATATACAGCGGACGACTTCTTGAAGGTGACTCTGCCCCAGTCTCTTTTTATGGAGTCGGTCACAATTCAGTGATCCACGCCCAAATATCTGATGCACAGGGAGTTTCAGGGGAACATTCGGGCAGACACGATGACGAAGGTTTAATTTTCTCAATGGACCCTTCAAAGTTATTTGTTCCTATATTGGCATTTATACTTATTCTCTGCTGGTACGGACTATTCAATTACAGGCATTTGTTCAGTGCTGCATCAGTGATCATTCTAATTTTTATGACACTTGCATTTGGCTTTTTGGTGTACGTCATAACATCTTAAGCTTCAGAAGCTATAACGGGAACACTTTTATTAGGCGATAATTCATCGCGGCGGTTCAGTTTAATTTCCTTGTAATATACTTGGAGAATATTTATAAAGATAAAAAAAAATGATCATAATACACGGAAATAAAGTTGAATAGCCAGTAATAATAATAAAAGTCTTTATTAAGCACTCTATACACCAAACGTGTTTAGTTACAATGATATGAACTTAAGAAAATATAAAACTAATTAACTAACTAGATAACTAACTGACTAAATAACAAGAGAACTAACATCTATTAACAAAAGTCCTCTTGAAACGTTCAGTTTTGACAAGCGGGAGAATATAATTATGGCGCCTCTTACGTAGCGTAACTATTGGTCGCTTTGGAAATGACTTTAATTTAGTTGAGGACGCTTTATAATTGTGGGCCCTTAACATTTGTAGGAAAATTCCGGTCGGTGTTGCCGTAGTATAATGGTGCGGGATTTTCCGAATTCGAGAATCAGGTCCCGGTTGTTCAAAGGTTGGATAACGCTGTCCAGTACGATTTGCAGTCCCTTATCCGCTGGATAGCGTTTGATCCATTGAATATACGGTTATCCACCCTTTGTGCTACTGAGCCCGGTGTTTTGTCCCTCTCTAGTCTGGAAATGGAAGATTCATTCAAAATGGAAAGAAAATTTCCGCTGTTTATTTCGAAAGGAAAAAAGGAGTACCTCTGTACGCACAACTCAGGTTCGCTTCAAAGTCTTCGGAGAATTACCTTAAATTACGTTACCGTTGGACGTCACATCGAAATTTCCTGATTTTGTGGCCGAATGGATAGCAGCCTTTGTGTTAATAAAATCCAAATCAAAATTAATACAACAGCTAATCATAGCGAAGGTAATATCTCAATGAGCCAATGAGAGCTCAAGGTGAAGACAAGCGAATTCCTTAAGTACAAGAAAACGAAGTCTGCGTTCACACTTGGTGCTCGAGCACGGTGCCCAAGTACGATTCTTGATGGGAACTAATATGATCATACCTTTTTTTCAAGTGCCCACACCAGAATTCGGGCATCAAGCCCGTGAAAAACCATGTACTTTGGTACTGAACCGGGCACTGATATATTGGGTTACCCAGTGTCTGAGCACAGCACCGTTTTGTGCCGGCGCCGCGGCACTAGTGCTTGGGTACCAAGTGTGAAGGCAGCCTTCGAAGTCGCATTTTGATTTTCCTACTTCACTTGGTTATGTCAGAGGGTAGAGCGCAAGATTTCTAGACCAATCAAAAATCAGATCAGAGTAAAACGAAACTTATAAAGTGGTGGATCACTTTCGTGCAGGCATATTTGGGTAAAGTTGAAACATCTGTAATGAGTCTGGATTGACGGAATAACCCTTTAAACGCGATCCACAAAAAACGTTTTCGCTGCAGTGAAAATCTGCATGGCAACGGTTTCATGTGAAATTAAATTTTGAGGAACAGTTTTTTAGTAATATTTTTCTCAGCGCGATTTTCTTTTTTTGTATTTAATCTTTAAATAACCTGTATTTCGAGAAGTAGATGTGTTGTAATGAAAGTTCCCGGGACGTTTTAATACGACTGCATGACATGTTTCTCTCATTTAGAATTTTACACTAATTGTAGAGTATTTAAAAAAAGATTAACATTTTCACAAAAGATTTTGATTAAACTGAACTTAAAAAGGTTAGCATCTTTTCAAAATCGAAACTTAATTTAAAAAAAAAAAAAAAATTGCCGGCCGGCCCGGGTGAAAATGCTAGCTACATGTTCCTAGGCTGTTGTATAAACAATACAACCACAGACCACGTTCAAAAAGTTTCACTTGTTGGTACTAGCAATGAATTCTCTGTAAGAACTTTAAAAATTAAACAGTTTACCATGTTCCTTTTGTTTTAAGGTACCGGCAGGCCAGAGTCTAAATTGATATTTTTTGGCTAATTATGAAGTCTGCGTCTTTTTAGTAATGGTGCAATCCAAAGGGATGAACTCCGAAATTGAACACGACGAAAAAATGAGAAATTCATTTTGTCCCACATTTATTCGCGTGAACAAAAAACTTTTAGTGTCCAAAGTATTTTATTTTTGTTACTGGGGAGCCGTTGGTTCGTTTTTCCCACTTCTGGGAGTGTATTTCAAGCAGCTGGGAATGAACCCAAGTCTAAGCGGCATTTTAGTTGGCTGCCGTCCGATGGTAGAATTTTTCAGCGCTCCACTTCTAGGATCTCTCGCAGACCGGTTGAACAAGCGGAAACTTTTGATGATATTTTCTCTGATGTGTTGGATTTCCTTTAACTTCTCGTTGGCTTTTATTAAACCAGCACCGGTTACGTGTAGAAAATATTTCATTCTCACAGAAAATGTATCGCAAATTGTTGATGGAGAGACATCAGAGATCAGAGATTTCCTCGCGCCAAACACCCCGGACAAAAAAGAACCAGAATTCAAAGCCAAGAGTTCTTTGGTTTATGATCGTGAAGGAGTACATCAAGTATTTTTAGTCCTACTCTTTTTAACGGTCGTGGGAGAATTTTTCTCTGCTCCGGCCATAACGTTGGCAGATTCAGCAACTCTTGGGATGTTAGGCGAGAACAAAGAACTCTACGGGCGCCAGCGAATGTGGGGGAGCCTTGGATGGGGAACAGCTATGTTTCTTTTAGGTTTTGTCATCGATAGCATCAGTGGGGTTGAATTGTGTGGTGAAATAATCAGTCAGAATTACACGGTTGGATTTTATTTCTTTTTCGTTTTCATGGTGTGCGCCTTGACTGTAGCTACCCGCTTCACCTTCCCAAACAAAGAAAAGTTAGAATTGGACGAGGGACTCGAGAGTAAAGGATCCGGACTATATCGCATTCTACTATCAGTGCGATACGGAACGTTTTTACTCGTGACATTTTTCTTAGGTTTCGGAGTCGGCCTTATTTTTACTTTTCTCTTCTGGCATCTTGAGGACCTCGGTGGTCCGCCGACTCTGTTCGGGATAGCTTCGTTAATCGATCATATTTCGGAAATCGCGTGTTATTTTAATGTGGGTCGTCTCATTGGCTGCGTCGGTCACATTCGCGTCCTCTACGTTGGCCTCTTGGGGAATTTAATTCGTTTTGTGTACATTTCGTTCTTAAACAATCCATGGCTAGTGCTTCCCCTGGAAATTTTGCAAGGAATGACTCATGCTGCCGTGTGGGCAGCTTGCACGAGCTACGTGGGTCGCATTGCTCCCCCTGGATACGCGACCTCAGCCCAAGGCATTTTGCAAGGATTGCATCATGGCTTAGGGAGGGGGTGTGGTGCGATAATAGGCGGTGTGCTGATACACCAGTTTGGTACCAAAATGACATTTAGAGCTTATGGAATTGCTAGTATGTTTGTCTTAGTGTTGTTTGCAACCATCCAGAAAATTCTTGGACCGGACGAAAGAATGAGTAACGGGATAAGACCGAATCAGTTGAACGTGAAGACCAAAGCTAAACAGAGTCCAGATAATAGCCCTGAAGTTGACTCTCCGCCCTCGGTTGTAGCTCCACTTATGCCGGGCCTCTTCTCTCATCAGAATATAAAGGATCCTAAATTTGGAGTAATTGGAAGGCACATACAGCCTAGAAGTAGCACCAGCTGATACGGGCACATTATCAAGACCATTTTTTAGTTCTCATTGACCGAGCGGGAGGTCTGTATGACTGTATGGGAGAATCTTGACCGAGGTCGCCAGTACAGAACGAACGTAGTGAGGTCTGTACCAGCGACCGAGGTCAAGATTCTCCCACTGAGACCGACCTAGCTCGGTTAATAAGATGTTTATAATATGGCTGTGTCTTACATGCCAATTTTTTATATTCCTTGTACCTTTTCTTCTAGACCGGTCTAGATGCCGGTCTAGATGGGAAAATCTAGACTGCTTTCAATATTGATTTCAGCCAATCAAATTCGCGAATTCAGTAGTTCCCAGTCCTTGTGAGACACAGCAATATAATAAATATATTTTATTAGGCGTTTTGTTGTGTGGTATCGCTGAGTATTTTTAGAGTTGTGCCGTATTTTGAAGAGCCCGTAGGGCGAGTCAAAATACAAATAACCGGTAAAAGTACATATATCTTAATAACCAAGCGCGAGGGCCGTACTGGGAGAATATCGGCCCGAGGTCTTGACAGTACGGACCGAGCGCAGCGAGGTCTTGACAGTACGGACCGAGCGCAGCGAGGTCCGTACAAAAAAGACCGAAGGCCGATATTCTTCCAGTACGGTCCCGAGCAAGCTTGGTTAACAAGAGATTTATTGCACGACTGAAGTTCAAAGGGACACAAGTGCGGTATCATTCGGGACCATTCGGGACAGTGTCCGGTCCAATACTGAGAGAATATTGACCGGCAATAGAGCATTTTGATTGGTTGATTTTAGTTATTGGCCCTCTGACTGCCCGAGTCGTGTAATAA